GCCTAATTAACTCCATCATTTCTCACTTTGTCACCTCAATGATGACCAAAGATCCTCTCGTGCCACCTCAGCCACCCGTCAATGAAGATACTGTTCACCAAGTGGTATTGCCATTTAAAGATCAAACGTCGGCCGATGCAGTGAAAAAACAACTATCTGACCTGAGCAAAAAACTTGATCACACTCTTCAACCAGTATTCAAGAGTCGCAAAATCTGTGAAGATCTCAAGATGCGTGAACCAAAACCACCTCTAAGGCTAAATGGTGTGAGCTGTTTGACACTTTTACACAGAAAGAAACAAGAGACCCCAACTTGAAGGACATTACAGAATTCGTTGAGGCCAGATCAAGAGTGACCAACCATCCTATTTTCGGTAAGATTTAAGGTGAACCGAGCCGATCCAGCAATCTCAAGCACAACGACAGCTCAAAAAGGGATGCAAGGTCATTTGCGGTGGATGTGCAACCGAAGCCAACCTAGTTGCCATTAAGCACTTCAGAGAAGAAAGTATTGAAGTGTCCCTCGTGCAACAAAAATCATTGGCTTTCGCAATGCAGCAACTTTAGAAAATTACGTTTAAGCAATCGACTCAAGTTTGTTCGTGCTAAAAAACTGTGCTTAAATTGTTTAGTATCAGGACAGTTTGTACAAGACTGTCCAAAGCGAAGCTTCTGTCGCATTGAAGGCTGTATGAAAAAGCACTCTACCTTTCTACATGAGAAAGAACAAACCCAGGAAATAACGCCATCACAACCAAACCAGAGTAATGGGGCTACAACCACCGAGATAAACACAACCGCACCACAAGTGAGTAATGGCTACGTCCAATGTGGGACGTTTCAAGCATCTAGCGACTCCTCCATCATAGGATTATCGATTGTGCCTGTGAAGGTTAAAGCGAAGGGCAAGACAACAAAGTGCTAACATACGCGTTCCTGGATTTCGTATCGAACACTTCATTCTGCACTGACGTGCTACTCCCAAAACTTGACGCCAAGGGAGTGAAAACCACCCTTTCACTTACTATGATGCAAACGACCAATGAAGCAATTGAATGTTCTCTCGTTAACCTAGAAGTTTCCGATCTCAGCGACCACAACGTAATAGAGCTACCGAAGGTTTACTCTAGACCCAGTCTTCCCGTATCAACCGACGCTATAGGCACACAAGAAGATGTAAACCGCTGGCCACACCTTAAGGGTATCACAGTACCCAACATCGAAGCACAAATTGGCCTTTTGATTGGCAGCGATGTACCACAAGTACTGCAACCAGTGGAAGTGAGGGAAAGCAAAAATGGCGGTCCCTCTGCTACGCGTACCATTCTTGGATGGGTGCTTAATAGACCCCTTGGACAGACAGGGCCTAAGGAGCCAACCGCTAACTTCATCGATGCCAATGCAAACCTCAGCAAGTAATTTGAAGATTACTGTAATCTAGAGTTTAACGACTCGAGGTACGAGCCCAAGATGTCTATGACCCAGAATGATTGATGTGCATCAGAAATCATGGAAAGTACTGTGAGGCTTTCAAATGGTCATTATGAAATTGGTCTGCCATGGAAAAGTAATCTGCCATGTTTTGAGAACAAGTCCCAAGCCGAATCCAGACTGCAGCCACTAAAGAGACGCCTTCAATGAGATGAAACCCTTCGAGAGAAATACAAGGATTTCATGGATGACCTGCTACACAAGAATTATGCCGAGAAGATAACTGGCATGGACTTGTCTTTGAAAGACACATGGTACCTACCGCACCATCCAGTATTTCACCCACAGAAGCCAGACAAGGTCCATGTCGTATTTGACTGTTCAGCAAAGTATCGTGGCACTTCTCTCAACGATCAGCTGTTACAGGGGCCGGATCTAACCAGCACGCTGGTTGGTGTGCTAACACGATTCTGAGAGGAACCAGTGGACATGTCAGACATAGAAGCAATGTTCTATCAAGTTCAAGTTCAGCCAAGCGACTGTAACTATTTGAGATTCCTTTGGTGGCCAGGCAGCGACCTAGAAAAGGATCCAGAAGAATACCGAAGGTTGGTCCATTTGTTCGGCGGCACTTCGTCCTCAAGCTGTGCTAACTACGCCTTGAGGAAAACCACTGACCATAACAAAGAAGACCTCGATGCAGCCGCAGTGGAGACCGTAAAGCAAAATTTCTATGTAGATGACTGCCTTTGTTCAGTTGCAACAGACACACAAGCTGTTCGTTTGGCAGGACAACTCCGTGAGCTATTATCCAAAGGAGGCTTTCACCTAACCAATTGGATATCCAATTCAAGAGAAGTAATCAACTCAGTTCCTGAGTCAGAAAGAGCACCCTCAGTTAATGATCTTGACCTCAACAAGAATTTAGTGCTAACTGAAAGAGCCTTAGGCGTCCAGTGGAATGTTCAAGCAGACACCTTTAGTTTCAAAATCGCTAACAAAGAAAAATCAGCTACAAGAAGAGGAATTCTGTCCATCGTCTCTTCAATCTACGATCCACTGGGTTTTGTATCCCCGTGTATTCTACCTCCCAAAGCTATCCTACAAGACCTGTGTCTTAAGGGCCTCGGATGAGACAACCAGATGTCGGAACTTAGCAAACAGAAATGGGAAGCCTGGCTTAGAGAACTGCCTAAACTAGAACAATACAAAATTCCCCGATGCTTCAAACCTCCAGACTTCTCAGGCATCCAACAACATGAGCTTCATCACTTCTCAGACGTGTCTAGTCAAGGCTATGGAGCAGTTTCATATCTCCGACAAATCAACGTGAACGGTAAAGTCCACTGTTTCTTAATCATGGCAAAGTCGAGATTAGCTCCCCTAAAGGCAATGACGATTCCGAGAATGGAATTATCCGCAGCAGTTTTAGCAACAAGACTAGATCACATGATCAGACAAGAACTCGATTTGCCCGTTGACAACTCTACCTTGTGGACCGACAGCACTTGCGTTCTTCAATACATAGAGAACAAGGAAAAGAGATTCCAGATCTTTGTCGCCAATCGTGTTTCAGCAATATCGGACCAGTCCACAGCAACCCAATGGCGATATGTTGAGACATCGCTAAATGCAGCTGACAAAGCATCCAGGGGGATGACAGTTGACGCGTTAAGGAATGATCGCTGGTCACAAGGACCCCCTTTCAAAAGCACCCTAAGGAGACCTGGCCATAAGGACCCGCTGATATTGGCGAGATCTCCAACAGTGACCCAGAAGTCAAGAAGACCGTTGAAGTGTTTGTAAATAAAACAAACGATCAAAGCAACCACATTAATGAGGCAATCGAGAAGTTTTCCTCATGGACCCACCTGAAGAAAGTTATGGCCTGGGTGTTACGTTACAAGCAAAACCTGAAGAAGAAAGGTCAGCGCCACAAGGCAAAGGAAGATATCGATTACCAATCAGGTGTCAGTAAAATCACACCATTGAGTGTGTCTGAAGTCAACGAAACAGAAAAGGAAATCGTCAAGTTCATGCAGAAACAAAACTTCAAAGAAGAATTATCAGCTTTAAGTCGAGTCAGACGAGTTTGCAAGGAGCTGGAGAAAACGGCAACCAAGAATCCTACAAAGAAGAGTAGCAGCATTTACGAGCTCGATCCTGTTTTCGAAAACGGCCTCATCTACGTAGGAGGACGTCTGCACCAAGCACCAATCGAGAATGATGCTACACACCCAGTGATTCTTCCAAGAAAGCATCACATCATCAAGTTAATCATCAAACTTAACCACTGAGCCTCTGGTCACTCTAGAGTTGAGTACACCCTGTTATTGATCAGAGATAAATATTGGATTGTCAGGGCGTGATCAAGTGTACGCAACATGGTCAGTGCGTGTTTCAATTGCCGGCGACGTCAAGCCCCAGTAATGCAACAGAAAATGGCAAGCCTACCGGAGGAGCGAAAAACGCCTTCAAAGCCACCATTCATGCATGTAGGGGTTGATTGTTTTGGTCCCTTCACTGTTCGTCGCAGACGGACAATTGCTAAAAGATATGGTGTATTGTTTACATGCCTGGTTATCTATGCAGTCCATATCGAGGTGGTCTATTCTTTTAGACACCGAGTCTTTCTCAAGGCTCTTCTACGTTTCACTGCAAGGAAAGGACGCCCAGAACAACAGAGGCAGCTTTGTGAAAGGTGAAAAGGAGCTTTGCGAAGCCCTGCAAGCATGGAATCAAGCTCAGATTTACGACTTCCTGCTACTGCAGGATGTCAAGTGGATATTCAACCCACCTGCTGCATCACACCACGGAGGAGTGTGGGAAAGATGCATAAGAACAGTGAGAAAAGTCATGAAAGTGCTACTCAAGCAACAAGTTCTTGACAATGAAGGTCTTAACACGCTGATGTGTCAGGTGAAATCCATTGTTAATGGAAGACCAATCACCAAGGTATCTGATGATCCAAGGGGTCTCAACACACTAACACCTAATCATCTTCTGCTACTTCGAGCAGGAACAGCAATCCCACCCGGCGTATTTTCCAAGGAAGATAACTACACCTGTCGCAGATGGTGCCAAGTGCAATATCTTAGCAATATCTTCTGGTCACGCTGGACCAGAGAGTACATGCCGTCACTGCAGCAATGTCAAAAGTGGAACAAGCCTCAGTGCAATCTCGCCATGAATGATATTGCGCTTCTTCTTGATGAGAATATGCCCCGCAGTCTTTGGCCACTAGCACGAGTACTGGAAGTACACAGCAATCGCAAGGATGGGCTAGTACGCTCGGCTAAAGTCAAGACAAAGACGTCCGTATTAGTGCAACCCATCAATAAGGTTGTTCTACTCAAGGCTGCAGAGATGAGAAGCAAGAATTGGCTTAGTTTAGCTAGTATTATGGACATTATAACCATAAACTTAACTATGATAACTAATCATAGTTTTAGCGTTTCAAACCTTTTATAGTTAATGTGTAAAGGCTATTTGTAATGCCTTTAAGGGGCCGGAATGTTAGTTTTGAAACGCCGATCATTTATCAATTTCCTCTACAACTTCCTCTGAGTTGTTATCAGTTATTATTCAAACCAAGTACGTGATTTCAAAATCAAAGCTTTCATAAAATTGTCATTTTCACACGTATGTAATAGTTTTAGAAATTTTGCCACTAGGAAGTTGTCTTTATTGTGGGCGCCACGTTTTTCACAACGCCCTAGGTTTTTCACATAGCATAGGCAATATAAGATGACACGCAACTTCTTTTACTCAGAGATTGTTAGTGAAGTTACACCGCTACTGTGTTACAAGCAGAGGATCCAAGTTACCGCTATTTCAAGTGTATTTCGCTGTCTCTCTGGTACCTTTTGGCACGAGTCATCAACCAAAGTACGTAAGTTCTTATTGTTGTAGTTATTTGCTAAGTCGCGAATTGTTAGTCTTTTCTTTGTCAGGAAAAGGTTTCATTTAGTTTATCTAGGTTTTGTTGAAATTGCTTTCACAGCTCTACTATTGCTAAGGCTTATTGTCATATGATTACCAAATTGTGATTGTTTGACGCTATTCTGCACGATAGCCGTTGATATCTTCGTTTGTTGCAACAAGAGTTGTTATCGTTTCAGTTTTATTAGTTTCAAGTATCAATTGTCACATCTATTTGTTTCATGCTGTGTTCTTGTTAGTTTTATTATGATTGTTGTATCCTGTTAGATTGGTATTTTATGCCTTATCTAAGTAGGACGTATTTTTAACTATCACTTTTCAGTTCGAACCGACTACATCTACTTGTACGACTACTACTCCTATTCGTATCTGCGACCACTACTTGTGATCTACTGGTTTTCACTATTTCTTCAGTCGCTACCTATTGTGACCTAGATCTATGGACTTGATCTGTCATTAAATCAGTTTGAATCTACCAAGTGAAGTTCAAATATCTTGCACAGCGCTACCCCTGTAGTTGCTTAAGATTTGAGTAAAGGCAACCTCTAGAATCTTTACAATTACACAACCCAAATGGTGTATTGAGCATGGTATTGTAACTAGACTCAGTGTTAAGATGTTTCTGCCAAAACCTATTTACATTTACATTTAATCTTTATTTAAATACGATTTAAGAATTTGTCAGCTTAAAAACCTAATATATACTTAATTCCTAATGTCTAATATAATGGGAATAATGAGTCCATTAGATTATATGCATTTTCTTGCCTCTCGAATTTAGAACTTAGATATTCTAGAGCCAACCAGTGCAGAGACTTGTAAAGCATCGTAGCTCTTTGAATTTGCTGCTGGCGTGCTAAGATTTTTCCACCCGAGACGTGTTAACAGGTGACCAGCATCTACGTCATAGTTTGATTAGGTCAAAACACGGGCTGCTCTATTTGATAGCTTTTGTAACTTATTTTGTCAAGTTATCCCACAGTTTCCCCAAACAATGTTGCAATAGTCAAAATGTGGCTGTATCAGAGCTTGATATATTAGATGTAAGGTTGCTTTATGGACAACGTGCCTTATTCGTTTTATGGCCCAATGCCAGAAGCGACTTTCTTTGCTACTTTTTTTGGTATCTATGATGGTGAACTTCTTTGCTTGTGAACGTTAGGTCACGACTTCCCCCACTGTGAGCATATATTTGGTAATGCTTGTGATGGATGGCTTTGTTAAAATTACAAGGGTCAAGGCATATGCGGAACTTGTTGGGGTTGACAACAACCAACATACTGCAGACCAACTTGGTTTGTTCAGTTACCAGGCTGATGACTCTTTGATCTGGTTATGTAAAGCTACTGATACATGGCAGGGTGGATGCACCACAGGTGGCACTGTGTCATTGGTGACCATGTGATACTCACCTGGGGGCCCCCCAAGCCTTCAAAAACATCTTTGTATTCATCTAGAAGGTTAGGCATCCCTGTTGTTACACCTACAGCACATCTCTTTTCCCATTCTGTCAACCCCATTATTTTGTACCATTCATTTGTATAAGGTTTTATAAACTTGTGCAAGCAGCGATTGACTTGTTTCAAGTCCATGTCCCCAGTGGCTCATGGGTACTACTTCAGTTAAAACAGGTGGCATATTCTGCACCTGTGTCTAGTTGAAATGCCACCTGACTTTAACTGCCTGGCTTGCCGGCTTCCATGGTCATTGTTGCACACCAGCCACTTCCAACTCTACTTTTATGGAAAACTTCCTCGGTTACTTCTACATTGTTGACATTTGGAGTGGTTGATCGACACTATCACTGGAAGTGGTTCTTTTGTCTGCATTTGTGACAGGTTTGCCCATGGGCACGGCATTAGTGATTTGCTTTCCTGAGTTCAGTCCTCACTTGTTCTTGTGTTCTGTTTAAATGGTGCCAACTGACTCCTCTGTTCCGCTTGCAATCATCTTTAATTACTGACTGGTCGGCTATGTGGCTTTGCATTTATCAATTGTTTTAGACAAGGTCAGGCCGTTTACTCGCAGGAGGCGTTCTCGTACTTTCTCATCGCAGACTCCAAAGACCAAAGATCGTGTAAAATCTTGTCTGGTGTGATTTCACCATGAGCACAATTCCTGCCGCAATTTCATACCGTTGTTAAACAATTTCTAACCAGATTGTCATCCACTGCCAACGGTTTTGGCAGTGGGACATTTGCCAGAGGCAGAATCAGTGGAACAGTGGGTACAGATGGCATTTTCGCATTGTCAGTCATCATGCAAAGACAAGATGGCAACTGGAAGAAATATATTTAGCTCTTTGGTCAACTGTCTACTCACCAGCCTGGCATTGAACACTTCTAAATTCTCAAATTGTCCTGTAGCAAAGCTAGAGGATCACTTTTAACACCATGTTGGGTTATAATGACCACAAAATCAGATAACTACGGGCTGAAGCTACAAAAAAACTTTTCATGTCCAAATCTCTATATTATTAGTGTTATTGTCTGTGCAAGGACAATACTCATGTTATAATGTAACAATAGAGTTTATGTTCTTGGGCATAAATATGTTCTGGGCCCAACTCAGACTCATTTTAGCCCGAGCTGCTAGGCGAGGGCTAAAATGAGCCTGAGAAGGGCCCAAAACATATTTATGCCCAAGAACATAAACTCTATTACTATTATTATCACTTTGGAGGCATTGAGAAAATAAAAACTGAAAAAAAAGACAACAAAACAATTTGAACAATCACACAAGCATTTACAAGCTGAATGGCTTTTATTTCTCCCTCAATGAAAATGCACAATAGCTGGCTAGAAATTACAAAATCTTGCCATTTGAGTTTTCAAAAATTATAGAGGACATGAAAGGAAAGTTTG